GTTTTTCAATGCAGCATAGTATTCCATTGTGTGACTACACCACAGCTTCTCTATCCATTCGTTTGTTGATGGACACTTAGGTTGTTTCCAACTCCTTGATGTTGTGAACAAAGCCGAGATAAACATAGGTGTGCATATATCTGCTTGGATGGTCTCTTTGGGGTATATTCCCAGTAGTGGAATTGCTGGGTCGAATGGTATCTCTATTTGCAACTTTTTGAGAAAGTGCCTTACTGCCTTCGGTCCTAGGTCCTTGATCCACCTTCAGCTGGTTTTTGTGTATGGAGTGGGGTGTGGATCTTGCTTGAGTTTTCTGGAGATAATTTTCCAATTTTGCCGACATCAGTTGTTTAAAAGGCTGTCATTTCTATACTCAAATGATTTTATCTCCTTGTCAAAAATCAGTTGACGATAGGTAGATGGGCTGATTTCTGGATTCTTTATTTTATTCCTTTGATCGATGTGTCTGTCATTGTACCTGTACCATGCTGTCTTAACCACCACGGCAGTGTAGTAGGATTTGAAATCAGGAAGTGAGATGCCTCCTACCTTGTTTCTCTTTTTAAGGAGTGCTTTGATTATTCAGAGCCTCTTTCCATTCCAGATGAAATTGGAAATTGCCTTTTTCATCTTGTAGAAGAATGGAATTGGAATTTGTATTAGGATTGCATTGAACATGTAAATTGCCTTTGATTATATTGTCGTTTTTACAATATTGAGTCTTCCTATCCATGAGCAAGGTATAGTCTTCTTTTTCTCCAGGTCTCTTTTTGTTTCTTGTAGTAATGTTTTGTCATTTTCTTTGAATAAATCCTTTCTGCTTCTGGTTAGATTTATTCCCAAGTATTTAATGTTGTGATTAACTATTGTGAAGGGTTTTGTTTTCCTAGCTCCAGTTCTATATTCTTTTTTCACTGTAGAGAAATCCAATTTATTTTTTAATTTTTTTTTTTTTCTATCCTGCCACTTTGCTGAATTGGTCAACTATTTCCAGTCATTTTCTCACTGAGTCTTTAGGGTTCTCTAAGTATACTATCATATCTTCTGGATATAATTTT